TTCAAATTCCTTTTTTTTTTTCCAGCTTTTACCAAAAAAATTCTAGTTCTTACAAAATATATGCTTTAAAAAATTAAAAAAACTGAATTTTAAAACGGATCGGGTAAAAAAGAAATGAGTCGTTTTCATCTGGTGCTGCCACGTGACACTCCATCCAAAATAAGGGTATATTTGTTCCAAAGTATGACGGGAGGGGTATATATAACCCAATAGTATAACGAGAGATATTTTAAAACCATTTTCGAAAGTACAAGGGTATATTTGGCCATTTTTCGTTGATTAAAACAACCAAGGTAACTGCAAATTTTATTTGAGGATCAGATTTAACATTCTTAGTGTAATATTTTGTTGGTTTTTTGCATTAAACAACAAGCGAGGAAACCTTCAAAAATTATGTACTCCAACTTAGATTTGAAGCTAGATTATTATTCCAGCTATTGTCCAAAAACTTTTTGGTTCGACGTACATATTCTTTCATACACCTACTAATAGGAAATGTTGATTTTTTTTAATTACACATAAGGGAAGAAGAAATAGGAGAGGGAATTACAAGGATTGGATCTCACCAACAAGATGAGAGTTCAAATAGTCATCCAATTAAGCTACTAAGATTCCCTACTAAAGGGGAAGTCAAATTTTTTTTTTTACAATATAAGGGAAATACTATTTCCAATATTTACGTACCATGCAATTTTATTACAAAAACAGGAGCTTTGATCAATATATTCTATTTACCTTCTTCAGAAAAATATTGGAGAAGAATGTCAAGTAAATATAATACTCATAATTTTAAGGTGACAAAAGAGTTGAATGAATATACACTTTTATATTCTTCTATATACTAGTCTTAGAGTACGCGTTTTGCGCGTGTATCCCGTGTCATGAGTAATTTTTTTTTAAAAATCACAAAAATGAGTAATAAGAAAAGCGTCTTGAATTATAAAAAAAAAATGAACTAATATAATTTGCTAAAACTAATAAATATTGATTCTATCTAGCTAACTCTATAAAGAAATAAACATTATGCTACATAAGTCCTCATATGCCTTCTAGTAATTCTGATAAATGAATTTTATTTTTAGTTTAAGTCCAAGCAGAGTAGGTATAATGTATTAATTTGTATTAACAATGCTTACAACAACATTTCATTTTGTCTATAACTCTTAAACTTTTTTTCGGAAACAACTTTAAAAAGTAAGTCTAAATGTAGTTTTCAAATATCTTTTTCAACTTAACTTTAATTTTCAAACTAAGAATATGCTTTAGTTTTACCTATTATTCCATTTACTGTAAAATAATTTTATTATTATATATGTATATTATTTTAAAGAAATAGTACATGATTGAAGGGTAAGACTTAAGAGAAAATGTCAACGTTAAAATAATATGGACATTCATTTAAAATAATTTGGACATCCATAAATAGTTGTTTGAATTATATAATATTCTTAGTTTCGTTGATAAATTCACATTAAAAATAATTTGATAAAGAAGTAAGGATGGTTCTTTTTTTTATATGAAACTAAAAATAAACTTGGAACTTTCTAAAAAGAAATTAAATTGTGTTCAAAGTAAAAGCATATCATTTTTACAATTAAAAATATAAATAAAAAGGGGTATAATAAAGTTCCTAATTTCGTTTGGTAATCAAATAAAGTTTCCCATAACAAAAGTTAGAATTTCCTTTTTAAATTGAATATTTCTGTTTAAAAATATTTGAGTTTTCTGTAAGTTTGATAAAAGACGAATGGAGATCCCAGTAAGCAAAAGAAATCATGATCATAGAAGTATTCGGATACAAGAAATCATGATCATAGAAGTACTCGGATACCTTATTGTGAATTATGTGTACTTATATGAAAATATCTTATGAAATATATATNTCTTTTAATCTTCTGGGAATGAAGATGTTGTCTTATACCTCATAAAAATGATAAATGACAATTTAAAGCCTATAAATGACTAATGCTAATTTAATATTTTATAATAAATAGTTAAATTTATAGCAAAAATGTAGAAAGTTATTATTTGTTAATAATTGGAAAAAAACTTAATGGCGTTTTGTTTACAATTGATTTTGTCTAAAGTTGGATATATTTTCTATTAAAATTAGGAAATAATTAAATGATGATATCTTTTATTGGTCAACAAAGCAAATTGCTATCTTTTAAAACTTAAGTTTTCTTTTTCTCCAAAAAAAATAAATCTTTTTTTGAGTCATAGCATGCGTGAGTTAGGCCTAATTACATATAATTTCAAATTACGAAAGATATAATATGTAGAATTTTAATTGATTTCAAAGTCCTAAATTTTAGAAAAATAATTTAATTGTCTAGTGTGAAATTTATTTTTTAAAGGGCAAAAACGAAGAACGACATTTCGCTAAGAGCTTTCGTGTTTTTAATATACAGTCAAACCTCTATGTAACAACCTCGTTTGTTCCGAATATTTTTGGATGTTATAGTGAAGTGTATATATATATATATATATATATATATATATATATATATATATATATATATAAAAAAGTGGGCAATGGAAAAGTGAGGCGGCACCTCTCTTTGGCCATCGTTGGTATTTATCTTTTTAGTCAAATTTTTGGCCTTTTTCTCTTATATTTCCCTCAAAATATTTGCTGCAAAATTAACACACTATTAAAAAACCAATAACGGTCTACATTGATTGCTCAATTAAAGGGAAAGGCATTTAAGAAAATGAAGACTATCAGTTTTCAAATTCATTATCATAATATCTGTTTGTATTAATATTCTTATATTTTTATGCCTTTTACATTCATAACTTCCAAAAATTTAATGTGTAAGTTAATGACATGATTGTATGTATTCCTCTATCTATGCTTATATATGTATCACAATTCACAAGCCTAAAAGCCAAACAACAAATCCACGAGATTATAATATTAGCAGCATCTTTCATGTTATTATTTTGTTTGCAAAGCTATAAAATCAAAGAATACTGTGGAGCCAACTGGTAAATAGTAAATACGTGAAGACACTCTTGTGAATTCTTTTGGATGTAGACTGACTTTCTTTTTGTTCTTATTTGCTAGATTTTGCATTTTTTTTCTCCATGTGTGGCCTTCTCCGAACTTTTATCAACGAGTATTTATAAGATGTTACTTAGTATTGTTATTGCTACTGATTCAATTTTTTTTTCATGTTTTTTACATATATTTCAATCATGCATATATGTATTATCACCTTAATTGAAAAATGAATAGCTACCTACTTTAATTCTCCTAATAACACCTTAATGTACTCTTCCCACATTAATATACTCTTCCTACGCCCACCTCCCTTTAATGAATTTTTTCCTTTTTTTTTTTCTTTTCATTTTTCTGGTAACAGGATCCTTTATCTCTTCAAGATATTCGACACTACAAAGAATTAGAAGCAAGATGAGTTTTGGCTTTTTACTTTCTTTTATTTATTTGATCCAAGTAAGTTATAGGATTTTTATTTTCTCTTCTATATTTCATTATTTATTTTGAATTTTAAGAATAAGCAGTGTTAGAAGGGATGCAGATCATTCCAGTATGCTACTTAATTTGTGAAAAGGTAAATTTCATACCAAAATCTTTTTTCTGTTTTTTCCTTAAAGAATTGATTCTGTAGTTTTTTTAACAGATGTATAATAAAGTCCAACAAATCCAAGAGTTTTGTACAGATTCGGATGAAAGAACTTCTTCGTTGTTCCTCGGGTAACAACTTCTTTCTTTTCAGTATTTTTTCGGGTTAAATCATCATTTTTTTGTCTATTTGTATAATTAACTTCCATGATAACCTATTAACCTACAACTGGAGTACCTGGACTGAGAGAAAAAGTAACGCAAGTATGTTGCTCTTGCAATGTTCATCAGAGGAAACGATCAAGAACGAACATTTTCGATGTTACTATAAGTGCACATAAAAATAAGTTTTCTCCTTCTCCTTTTTCGAACCTTTTGCTTCTCGATACTTGGAAGGTTTTCTATTTTTTTTTATTTTGATGAGTTAATTATGTTTTTCAAATTATAGGATGGGTGTTATGAACAAAGGAAACTTTGCAAAAAATTGGGAGAAGAAAAAAATAACAAAGGGACTCCATAACTTCCAATGTCACTTCATTCTCACTTCCTTTTTTTCCTATTTTAAATTTCTACCCTTTACATTTCATATTTTCTTTTTATTTAATGGAAGACAATTTGTTAAAGTTCATAAGTTTTACTACTATCTAATCTAATACATTTTCTAATAATTATTATTTATGGCTAACATTTAAATAATAATGAAAGGTGAGAGGAGTTACATAAGACCAAAGGTTTTCAATAGATATTTACTTTTTTTGATTTACACTAATTAATATTATTGATAAGTAATATTTAAATAACAATATGAGAGGAGATACATAAGAGACCAAAGGTCTTCAATAACTATTAGTTTTATGATAATTAATGGAGTATTAATTGTTAATATACATCACCTCTACGTATTATGAAGAGGATTGTTCCTCGAGTAATTTGTTACTACAAAGCTACAAACTTTGTGATGCTTTAATTTGGATTTGTTTCTTTATTTTAATTTTTCATATGTATTTTGTTATACGATTAGGTTTTGATTTTCGTGGTATGTATATCTTACATTACATATATTTGTTTATATTTTTTACTATAGATTGTTTTGTATTATAACCGTGCGACGCGCGGATAAGTTAACTAGTTATAACATAATATGAAAATTGGTTCCAGAAAAACTTGGCTTTTATAGTGAAGTGTTATCATATAAGAATGTTATTATAAAGAGGTCTGGCTGTTGTATAGATAATGTTTTAATGCACCTAAATAAAAGGAAAACAAAAAAGAATGTCACAAAATAGCACTTAATTCAAACGTGTGATCTTGCAGTTCAATTTTGGACATTTTCCCATTAAGTTGTCCGAAATGTAGAGTTAGGAGTACCAATGTTTTGCGCGGGTTAGTTGGGCTTCGGATGGGCTTGACCCAAGTTGAATGCGGTATCTTCACGACGCCGTTTACTCCTCCTTTGTCCAGTCCAGTTCAATCCCCGGCAAAATCTCCATTTCCTACTCTCCGACTAGTGAGGTAAGTGAGATAAAGTTAATGCCATGAGCGTCTGCAAAACCCTATTTCGCTCTTCAATTTCGTTTATTGAGTTCAAAACTCGAAGCAGTTATCGTAGAAGTTTCACTTCTCATTTTTCATCCAATTTCGCTCCTTTTAACGCACTGCGTCTACTCTCTCCTAATCCAGGTATCTATTTATAATGTTTGTGATTCTGTATGTGTTGCTTTATGTCTGTGTACTACACTAACCTTGTTCTCTACTGTATTTCTATGTAGGACTTAGAATCGAACCGTGTAGAGCTACTTCAAGACGATATGGCAGCACTCAAGGAGCAATTTCACTGGAAATTTCGGAAAATGCGGAGGAAATGACAGTTCCGCGTGTCGCCATAGAAATTCCGGAGGAAAAATCGGAAGATACAGTAGAAGAGTTGCTTTCCAATAAAGATGATGTAACAAAGTTTATGAAAATGGAACGTAGGTCCAATACTGAAGGCCAAGGGCATCAGGACCGTTGGTTTCCGTATTTGGATAGATTTAAGGTGGGAAATGTGGACTTGAATAGCGCAGAGGTATTGGAAGCTTTGAACCCGGTTATAATGGATTCGAGGAAAGAGAGGTTTAGAAATGCTGTGATGAATCGGACATATTCTGTATGTTTGGTGGTGGAAGGTTTGAGTGATTTTGGCAATATTTCAGCTGCGTTTCGGTCAGCTGATGCACTGGGCATTCAGTCAGTCCATGTTGTAGCGTGTGACTGTTCGAAAAGGTGCTCAGCACTTTAGGTGAAAATAGTACTTATTTGTTTCTTTTTCTTATCATGCTCGATATTGCTTAATAATTGGCAGTTTTAGTAGTATCGACTTGAGTTTCAAATGTATTCTTAGCATAATACATGATTTACAACCAGGGTCGGATCCAGGATTTCAAGAGGATGGGTGCACTATTGCGGATTTAGAATTTATATTTGACGAGTTTAACTTTAGTATCTACCATGTACCCACTACACATTTGAAATTATAGGTTCAAAATTATATTCTTTTTAAAATTTTAGTGATTTTCACGTATATATCTATACTCCATGCCGAAAACAAGACCGTCCGGAGTGGGATTTGAACCACCAATTTCACTCGTAGAGGTGCACTCAATGATTATTGCACCATAGGAGTCTTTGAGCATGGATTCACGCACATATAATTAAGTAGTTTTTAAAAAATATAACATTATTATACATGGTTCAGGGAAAGAAGTATGCGTTCACATGAACCCATACCCTAAGACTCAGATACGCCCCTGTTTACAACAATGTGTTTGAAGCGACATGCTTTATAGTTTCCCCTCCTTTGGCTAGGGAAATAAAGAAGAACGTTTGGTTCTGTGTTATACGCGGTTATATTTAGTGAAACAAATTCATTTTGTGGTTTACTTAGTCATCGTGTTGATTAAGGTTTAGTGCAAAGCGTTCCAGAAGTGGTTTACTATCTAACAGTGCGAACAAATCCTGTCTCAGAGAGTTCCAATATTTTTGTTTGACGATTTAATTTTGCAGGAAGGGAACGGTATTTATAAGTGAATTGGTTTTGTAGGGCACTCTTTGTGCAAGTGCCTTGACATTTAATATCTGCCTACAGGTACAGGGAGAATCGCCATGTCAGCATGGGAGCTGAGAAATGGTTGGACATCGAACTTTGGGATTCTGTCCATGAGTGTTTCAAAGTTTTGAAATCACGTGGTTATCGTATTGCGACAACACATCTTGGAATGGACACAGTATGGAGATCCTCTTTTATTTCTTATACTGAATTGCCAGTGAAAATTTGCTTGCTCATTTTTGGTTCTTTCTGTTTTATTGCTTTCTCAAGATGTCAATTGAACGTTGTCTTTCTGTTGTAGGTTTCTGTATACGATATGGACTGGTCATGCCCAACTGCAATTGTTGTTGGAAATGAACTTAGGTAGGTGTTATAGTCTGCTGTCCTCGTTCAAGAATAGTTATTCAGCTTTGATCCTACCTGCTGACAGGGACTACTATATTCTGTCACATATGAACTATAATCATATTAGCATCTGCGATCATTTTTATGGTAGAATTTGTAATCAGTTTCTTTCTTGTCTTGGTTCTCTATTTTAATGATCTTCTTTATGCTGAAGAAGATCTAATTCTATTTCCTTGTAAAATTAGAGATAATAGGAATATTGCCTCTTGGCATGAAAAGACTTTGATTTATTTTGCTGAGATGGACCAGAACTAGATGAGATATTGTTGTTTGCAGGGGAATTAGTGATGAGGCTCTTGAATTATCAGACTTACACTGCAGTATTCCAATGAAAGGCATGGTAGACTCATTCAATGTATCTGTTGCTGCTGGCCTACTTATGCACCATGCCGTCTGTGACAGAACTTCTCGCTTGGTACGTGTCCCGTAGCGCTGCAGAACATTCACCTAACTCTTAATTATACTCTTCTTATTCCTTTTTTAATTCCTTCTCCTCTGATGGAAGGGGGTGGGGACAATCAAATTGCAGTACATCCGATGGAATGGAGAAACTATGGACTAGGGTTACCTTTTTTTTTTCTCGGTGATTGCATTGCCTTGATTTTTCTCTCTTTCTGGATGGGGTTGTGGCCTGTGGGTTAAAGGTTATACATGTTGCATTAGCTACATAGCATGTTGTTTTTCCATCTTTTTTTTAACCTTCCGTGGAAATATGAAAATAATGGTACAATCTATCTGCCTATGGTGCTTCTCTACTAACAATCGAGAAGGTGACAGCGTAGGAAAAGAGTGGTAAAATCTATCTTCAGTGTTAATTGATATCTCTCCTGTATTATTGTACCTTAAAAAATTCGAAACTTTGTTGACTTGTCTTCGGTGGTTGATGAAGGTGACACCGTAGTTGATCATAGTTGCTTCAAGTTTCTAACCTATTGAAGGATTTGGCCTTCTTTTGTTCATGATCTCCAAGATTCCATGTACAGAAAGTTGACTTTTTTTTTTTCTTTTAAGGGATGTCATGGAGATCTAACTATTGAAGAGAGCCAAATCTTGCTGGCAGAGTTCACTTTGCGCCACAGCAATAGTGCAATTAGGATCGCTCATGAATATGCAAAAAGAAAGATACCTCAGCTTAAATCAAAGCTGTGAATAACTGGTCAAACTAGTTTCCTGAAGGTTGTTTTAGCCTATTTGCACGTGGAAACTTCACAGGTATTTCCCTACATAAGTGATTAACATTTTTTCAAATATGACTATATTTGTTGTTTCATGGTTTGCTCTTTTCTTTTCTTCTTCTTTTCCTTGTCGTAGTGGAACAAAGTTCACACGATCACTTTGTGTTTAGACTTTGAATGACTTATGTTTTGGTTTTAATAATTGTCAGTAATATGTCTGGACATTCGACACACTTGATGCTGCTGAGTGCCTGGTCGTATAACTGAGCAGCTATGCTTTTGCATTTTTTGGGTAGTTCTGATACAGCTTATGTACAGCTTTACTTTCACCAGTTTGCTTTTTTATGTCCACCATTTTTTAAGGATTTACTCCTTAATGTATATGTTAATTACTTAGACGAAATAGCTCTCAAGAAAAAATTGAGACGCTGTTAGCTTGCGTTATTTATTTTTCCTTCTGGGATTTGCTGGTTTAATGTTGTTTTAAATTATATCACCGTTTTGAATGATTTTTGCCATGCATATTTGTCATGTTTTTAGAAAGAGTTGCTCACGCGAAAACCTTGAGGAATATCCTGTGAGCTTTTACTATCTTTCTGCCAACTGCTTTTTTATGTTGAATCAATGAAGCCCTCCCACCAAGCCACCTTCTACCGAAAGTGTAGCCGAAAAAGAGGGGGTTTAATGCAATCTAATAAATGGGGAGCTGCGGAAATTTGTATGCCTTGCAACCATCTGAGTACTTTCATCATCTTTTTAAATCTTCTCGCTTTATTTCTTCCACCCCAGTAATGCCTAAGATTACTGATATACTAAAAGAAAAACGGAAAGATAAATAAATCAGAGTACCCAAATTAACAAAGGTATTACCCTTACAGGTAGGACTTGGCAAAGGTTCAATTTGATATTGACAGAGTATAGAATAAATAAATCATTTTATCAGGAGATAGAATGCTTAGTGTACTACATTCACTAACAAACGGACCAAAAATGAAATCACGAAAACATTAATATACCATTTCAGCGAATTCCCTTGTGTACATTGTGGTGGGCATATACATGAAGGCAACTGATCATGCCAAAAGTAAAAGTTGTCACCTGACCCGCGAGAGACATTGATTAACTAATAACATCAATTCTCATAAATTGGACCCTGAGGGAAAAGAAGAACTATCGCATACAGAAACAAAAGCAAACGATTTTCTAGTTTTTGCCAACAAGGTCTACCATTGATCACTTGAACCCAATATACACATGATCAGGTAAAAGCAGAAAAGAGAAATCCCTACTCAATTAAATTTGAAGTATCAGTTGTTTGTATTGTTGTTTTTGTGTTTTGCAAATTCAAATCTTCCCCACGCTTCTGCAATTCATGGGACCGAATGAACTCTTCAATTTTCGCCTTCAACTCGGTGTCAGGAATCAGCATGTCCGCAGTTAGATGAGACCGGTTAAACGGGTCCGACTGTAAACCAGTAGAAGCAAGTGAAAAACCACAACTTTCTTCCTAGTGGAATAAAAGACTTAGAAACATAGACATAGTGGCTTACACTATCACTAAGAAGGTGCCTCTGAATAACAGGTCGGTCCACTGTTATTCTTGAAGAGGGAAGAATGACAGGATCCTTCATCAAAGTATACTGCAAATCGAATAAAGACCATTGGTACAAATCAAAAATTTGACTAGGGAAGCTATCCATATAGCAAGAATTGGAAACTACTTGATTTGATTTCGAGGAGAAGAAGGTACGTACTTGGATAGGATCAAGGAATTCATCAGGAATGTCTCCAAGTGCAGCCTCAGCGTCCATTGCTTCTGAAGCTGCAACCTTGGCTTTTGCGCCAAGGTCAATGAACTCTTGAATGATCCTCATATCTTCACCAATTCTTCTAAGGACATCAGCTGCAGCACTAAATATCTGGAACAAATCCAATTTGTCACGCCGAAGTCCAAACAGAGAATGAATTTGAAGAAAGCAAAAAAAAAAATTAATGGAAAAGAAAGCAATTAGCAACAGGGTAAAAACCTGATCACTGTACGATCGACCATCTCTTGTAATTGCAGCTGGAAAGATATTCTCCTTATCCCCTCTCGCCAAATGCACATATATTTTCACAATCTTCACATGCGAACAAAAGAAATTGTAAAACTTCTACACATGTACCTTCTCCTGATTCTAGTAACATACTATGGAGACTACAGGATACACTAAACAATAAGAAGAAAAAGAAAATTTTCTGGCCCTCTTCATGAAACAGGAGATAACCAAAAGAGGCTACGTAATACAGAAATACACTTGGTTCTTGTCAAAAGAAAAAGAACAGCCAGACAGAGCTTCGATGAAATTCAGAACAGAGACTCCACCAACAATCATATTAGATTTTGTTAAAACAATAATAGTCTTGGCAATTAAAATGCTCAAGACACTTTGTACTGTTGTAGGTTTTCTACTTTTTTGTATACTTCTTGTATACTCGCGTTTGGTCCAAAATTTAATGAAAATTTACTTGCTTAATCCAAAAGAAAAAAGAGAGCTCAAGACACCCCTGTATGCAAATGATATTTGGTGCTAATATGCAACAAATTACTTGTTTTAGATTCTTGTACAGACTACAGATAACAGTAACACTATCAATATTATCATGGTTATAGCAAACTAAACTTCTACACCAAGTCATCATCCACATAGAGAAATAAACATACATCTATTTAGGTCATTTCCCAACATACAAGTCATTAAGAAAAATCATCAATTTTCCTTCACAAATGAGTGATTAAAAACTAATATTTGCCACCACGGAGCATAATCCTTCCAGCAAAGCGGTCAATCCCAAAACAAATAACTAGTTCAATGTTAGAATATTTTGGGAAGAACCAAAAGGAAATGTCTGATATAAATTGGAAAAAAAATAATTACTCTATAATCTCAAACTCGGTATGACGTCTCAGACACCAAGTATGCCACTTTTCACAACCCAGACTATTATTTTTTCAGAGATACATTCCAAATCATTAATTAAACATTTCTCTACCAAACTTGATATGATAATCTATTCATACTTTGTGCTACTCTCTCCGTTTCAATTTAGATGACACACTTTCCTTATTAGTCCGTTCCAAAAAGAATGACACATTTCTATATTTGGAAACAATTTAAGTTTAACCTTTCCATTTTACCAACTTTACCCTTAATGAGAAGCTTTTATAGCCACACAAATGTCATTGGCCCCACAAAGCTTTTGCCCCTTAAGCTTTAAGGACCACATATTTCAAAAGTCTCCTTTTTTCTTAAACTTTGTGCCAAGTCAAACTACATCATCTAAGGGAGTATTAGTAACTGTGCAAGTAAAAGTTGGTTTTGTCTATTGGGACGTGGGAATATTAGAAACAAGTCCGGTTAGAGATGAGGCAAAGGTGCCAATGTAGGTACAGAGCAAGCAAATGGGAAGAGAGGAACTAGATGTGAAGGTCAGAGAAGGAGAATTGGCAGATATAAATATAATGATGCGTGTGCCTCTGACATTTGATCACGTGGGTCAGTCACATTTCATATTTCCTTTACCTCTATCTTTTTGCGGTGTTAATTTCCAATTTCAATCATAAGAAAAGCATAGTTGCACTTTGCTACTGTTCAAGTGTAAAAAGGCAAAGACTTCAGTCAAAAGGTAAAAAATAAGGAGTTTTCCTATTTAAGGGACACTTAATGCCATCTGATCTTTGTTAGTTATAGCAAGTAATATCAAGACATGTAAACAACTTCATTCACCTGTTTCAACAACTCTTTCGGACGAAACTCATACTTTTCAGGGTCTTTCAAGCTGAGAGATTTTCTTTGTGGACCCACCAGCTGTAGTAAAAAGTAATTCAACATGCTAGCAACTCTCTCCACCTAGAAACCATTTCGAGAAAAATTAAGGGGAAAGAACAGCTTCACCAATTATAAAACAATAACCAATTTGAAAAAAAAAAATGCTTCATCGATTATTACGCGTTACCGCGAGAAATGATATAGAATGGTGAACATACCATCTCAGGAAGAAGAAAAGGGGCGGTAATTTGCTCTGAAGTAAATGCTAGCAGGCTCACATCTTCATTTGCCAACTTCATATCAATTCGAATTATCTAAAAACAACCAGCATCTTTCACTTAAATTATGAATATAGCTTTAGTAAATAAAAATATTTGAAGATTTAAAACTGACATTCTCTTGTGAATGGAACAGGCGAGTTCTCTCCTGCCTTTCTTGAGCTGGTCTTCGCTCCCATTCTGCTGTATTAGACATTTCAGCTTCCAGCTCTTTTAGTTCAAGAATTTTATTAAGACTTTCATCAAGAAGATAGATGCTATCATTAATCAAGAAGTTTAAGAAATTCAAATAAACACCCTTCTCCTCCTCCTTGGCAATCTGTAAATATTGAGGTTACAGATGAAGCGTTATTGGAGAGTAGTTCAAGAGTTGTGTTATAAAACCTTGAAGGCAAAATATCACCGAAAAGAGAGAAAAAAACTCCCAACCTGTCTCCATGCATTCCTGTGACTAGGAACTTGCCAAAGATATTCAAGTAGTTCAGCAATGTTGTGGCGGATATTAAATTTATCATAGAACTGCAGCAAACAAGATATTCCATTAAAGAGCACACAGTGGAAGTCTCTACCATCAAATGAACTAAACTGCAACTAACAGAACAATATCGAATGACATTGACTGAATTAGCAACTTTTGTTTCTGGCAACAAGGCTGAATCAGAGAGCAGACTGTTTATTCATCCACCATATTTTCTTTTGTGAGACGGCAACTTTTTTTCTGCTTTATCCCTGGCCACCCCACTATTTAAGAAAAAATTGAAGACATATTACCCAAACATTCAACCTCTTTATCCTGAAACAAGTATCACCCGAGAACCAAGAAAACACTATCCAAAACCTGTGGGTCTATAGAAAAGAAAAAAGAAAATTTTGATGACATAAGCCAGCATTCAAACCTCTCTATGCTGAAACAATAATATCACCAAAGAACGAAGAAAACAGTATTTGAGAACCTGGGTAAAAATAGTTCTGTTTTCCAAACAGCCATACTTTAAAGATATTTCAACAGTCATGGAGAAACATACCTACAAACACAGTTCTTGGAATATGTCCACTTTTCAATAGACTCTTCTAAAGATGCTAACACTCACAGTATTTTTTCTTCGAGAAACCTCTTTTATGATGGAAAAAGATTAATTCATTAATGCCCTGAAAGATTACTGACAACCCTCAAGAACAAGCATATATATGTATATTTGATGTCCAGCAAGATCTGAAGAATCTCCACTTTGAGAAGATAAGGGTGAAGTGAAAGGTCAATGACCTGAAGTCTTGAAAATGAACGACACAAGCAGGACAAAGGAGTAAGCTCACATTTCAAGATCCTTATGAGACTATCAAAGTATCTGATAAAATTATGAGAAAAGAAAGAGCTAGCATCAAATATTGCTTCTTCCTTAGTAGAAGGAATTTTTAGGAATG